CATCATCCCTCTGTTAGAATCCAAAGTTCCAACATGTCTCTCATGCAAATCATCATGCATCACGTCTCTACCAATAGGAGAGCACTACTATCATGTGACTCCCTCTACATGCCACTACTGAATTATCACTTCTCGTTTGGCAGCTGTTGAGCTCAGATGTTTTTTCTTACATTGTTCACTTACCTTGAAGTGGTTTATTTTTTATTTTGCATTTTTTTTATATTTTTCTTAAATTTATTTACTACACTTCACTTGTTGTGGAGTTAATATTTTTATTAAAACATTACTTCATCATGTTTGCTGCTTTTTCCTGTTTATGAATTCCAAAGTTAGAGTCGCCAATTTTGGTACTTTGCCAGCATCTGATGCCATATTTTCAGCCATGGGCGTGGGTAACCGTCAGGGGTTATATCGTCACTCATTTGCCGGGAGATTGAGCAATATATAAGCTAACATCTCTTACCTACTTCTGCTCCACTTCCTACTAAGCCTTTCTGACAATGGTTTCGATTGTTTGTTTCCTATCTCCCCCCCCCCCACGAGTTTGCTGCACCTTCCCGATCACTACCTGATGAATTAACACATCTGTCACTGGTCTTTTCAGATCTCTTTTCTTACATCTTACACCTTTTTCCTATGGCCCTAGACCTTTCCTCTTACATGAAACAGACTCTCAACCCTATTTAGTTATTTCCCCTATCTCCACAATATTAGTGTTCACATGGACCAATTTGCCTGTCAACTGGAGGAGGGCGTTAGTATGCCTCGTCCCACACAGACTTTGAACCAGTCCACCCTTGCTTATCATCGGGTAGAATTTCCCCTTTTTCGATCAACAGTTATTGGGATTGGTTCTATCTGTTTGGGGGGTGAACCCAGATTACCCTGTCCAACTTAACCAAGCCCAATTTTCTCGACTTTGTCTCACCCTCATGACCCTGTTAAGGTACATTTCCTCCCTTCACCTTCTGTCAGAGGCTCATCGCAGGAGCCCTGAGGGGTTTTATGCTGAATTCCTCTCCATCCTTACTTCTACATTGGCTCGTCTGTTGTCTTTGGCTCTTGCGTTTCAGAAATGGTTTGTTTGTTGTTGGGTGTCAGAATTTTAAATACAAGTTTTGCCAATTCTCAAAATAAAAGGTTTTTACTTGTATTTCTTAATAGTATAAATATATATTATGTTGTTGTTAGGTTTAGGATTCTTCTACGGTAGGTGGCTGTGACTTGTTGGCGATAAATTCATCGATAAATGAATAGCACGCACATCACTTGTTTTCGGAACAAGTTAAACATATGTACAACACATTCTTCACACTATAGAGATTATAGCCATATCATAAACATTATATATATAGTTCTCTCCTTTGTTTGATGGTGTGTCATGTACCAGCTACTTTCAATCTCATATCTGATTGTCTTTCCTGATTGGATTGCAGTTATCCCATGGAGTAGCCCCTGGTTACCCTGACCAATTGGGTGTGATGTTTGATCCAGTTGGCCTATTCCTCCTTGTCTCCTTCCCAGTATGATCTCTTTCACCTTTCCTTACATCAAATCCATCACCCTACCTTCTCCCTTGCATCTCGTTTTCATCGGCCATTGGAGGAGATTCTATGATTGGGTATGTGGAGGACTCTGCACATGTCCATCTCCCACTAACTACACCATTTCGCTGTTTCTGCTTTCTTGGGATATCACCTGCTGTCTGTGGCTATTCTACAGACTTTGGTGCAGCTGTGACATGAAATAGGTTTTTACTAATGCATTCCTTTCTTTCATGGGCCCCTGCTTCAGCTTCCCTTTGGATCCCATTCTGTAGCAAGTGGTGCCTGACTAGGTATTTTGTATCTACTCAGAATGGGTTCCACTTAGATGGCTATAACCATTCGCAGACATTTTGCTATCAAATCTGCACTGTAAGCCATGTTGATTGTTATACATTTTCTATGGCTGTGTATGCTTGCCCTTGAGATGGGGTGTTTCACATGTTCACTAGAGTGTAAATTCCTAGTGCTGATTGCTTCATAATATGCCCGTTCTGGACCATACCTCCCATGGACGGCATGGGTAAAGCAGAAGGGGATTGCTGCCCAACCCTGCTATGCCTAGATTGAATAAATTGGTGTGGTCTGCTTTTAAAAATAGCACTGTCTCCCCTCTGATCCAGTGCCCTTCTCCTACTCTCATGTAGATGTTGTTACCCAGTGAGTGAAGTTTTGGAGATTGAGTAAACCAATCACATAGGTTTTGGGTTGTCTATCTTTCCCTCTTGACTTGTCTTCTGTGTTGTGGGTTGCAGAAGGTCTACGTGGCCTGTTTCTGCTTCTGTCCTGGGTTTTCCCTCATTGGGTGATGAGGTTGTTACTGACTGGGGTCGCTTGGCAGGAGTTGAATGCATGCGATGGTCTTCCCTCAGAATTTGGTTGACACATTCCAGGATCCCTGGCATTAGGCTACCCTGTGAGTTCCTGGAGTCGAATGTTAGGTTCCCTCTTGATTTTGAGACTTGAAAGGAAGAAGGTATGATCCTCATCCTACCCTTGCTAGGATATCTGTACCCAGTGAGTGAGGTTTTGGATGTAATGCCCTAGCCACTCTACAGTATGGAACACATCCTTATTTGTCCATCAAGGGATTGAGTGATTCTAATTTCTGTTTAAAATCACATTGCTAAACTATCCTCTCCCACACAGATGTGCTTTCTTCATGTTCCACCATGTCTGATCATGTCGATGTTCCTGGAAAAGAGATATCTGGCTCCAATGTGATGCAGTGCCCTCTCAGATCATCTGATCTGTTCCTCTAATTTCTGGGGTGTCCTCCAGATGCTTCTCGGGGATATGCCTGTGCTTCCTTTCTACCGGTCCCTCCTCCATTTCAATGTGGGATTCAAGCTAATCTTTTGAGCTGAGGGAGAGTACATTATTGGAAGTTATTTTCTTAAATGAAAATGTATTTCCAATTGGTACTTCCTTTGGCTCACACCTCCCACCCGTCCTCTCTACAATTTTCCAGTGCTTGCATCTTCTGCCATACTTTAAAGTGATAGTTCGATAGCGGTGCATAGAGAGAGTCACATTGGTGGAGAGGTGATGCATGATGATTTGGATGAGAGACATGTTGGAACTTTGGAACTTACAACTGAGGGATGAAAAGTTTGCATACAGAGGGCAGCACAAAACGAGAAAAGCTAATATTGTGAGAGGAGAGAAGTACCTATCAGAAATACATTTTCATCTAGAAAAATAATAACTTACATTTTGCTTGTTTTTAATATTTTTAAAGATTCTTCTTCCTCCCATTCGTACTGATATCTGTTTTCTTTGCTATTGGTTTTCATATCTGTGATCATTACTTTTCTTGAGGTATTTATTCTGTTGTATTTATGTTGTTGTAAATAATTTTTTAAAACTATTTAAATTTTTTTTACGTATTTCACATATGTTGAATAACAAGAATAATTATTTTTTTGAATTGCAGGCATTATGTCGTGAGAGGACCTGAGGGCACATCATATGAAGGTAATTGCGGAATTAAATATGATTTCTTCAGTAAAATATCAATTTCACTTCATTCATTCATTCATGTTTAGGAATACTACTCTATTTTTGATGACATATTTTCTTTTTATGTTGTTTAGTAGTAGAACTATTGCTTCTGAGACAACACCACCTGTTTGCACACAGTTTATCTATTTTCCTCACATAGTTTGGCAGAGAGATTTGCACGGCACTAGCCTTGAGGCAACTCCCACCTAATTCCACATGATCTGACATGAATTGCGCTACTGCAAGATGATGTAATTATGTATTGAAGCCCTCCATCAATAGGAAGGTGACACATTTCCATGTGCTATAACTCCATCTGTGCATTTGTACTCAAGAACTTCATTCTACTCCTAGGCGTTGTATTGGTCAGACATGTTTAAATTTCTTGTCTGCATTTAATTTACTAAGACTTGCATCATTAATGAGACTTTGATTTTTGTTTTATTTGGCTTTTGTTTCAAAAGCTTTAATTTCTATTGAGAATTCTCAAAGGACAGTGATTTATGTGTGGTCCTGAGGTGTAACATTGTTAAAATGTAGGCCTTATTTCTTCTATAGCTTTTGGAGTATTGTTAACTGTCAAGATCATTGCATCCATTGTTAAACATGATGTGGATCATGAAATACTTGATGGGCCTCCTACTTCCATCTTGTTGGCCAAATTTCTTTATCCACACTTGGTAATGATCCATTGGACTATGTCTTTCACCTGGTTTGCTTTGGTTAGTATCTTACCATTTGTGACCTTAACCTTTGAGTTTCTTTTTTGATTTCTTTCGCAGATATGTTCCATTTGCTATCCTTTGCCTGTTTTATTTCTTTATCATCCATGATTATTTGGGTTTATCTTTTCTCTCTGCTTGTTATTAGGCTTTATGCTGTCTTATTTGTCTAGTAACTTGTTCTCACACCCAAATGTCTTATCCCCCTCGTGTTCGTGTATAATTTTGTCCTGATTTGTAGATTTACTTACAATTTTTGATTCCCTGCCATTGGTATCTATCTGGCCAGCTTGGGGATCATGTTCCTTACCTTTTCTTTCACTTTTTAGTTCCTCATTTTTGAATTTTTGTCTTTTTCTTTCTACCCTTCTGTATTCCCTCTCCAAATTCTGCCTTTAATCTGAGGTGCTTTTGATAGCTTCTGTTGGTATATGTTCTCTTCTCTGTTTAGCCTGTTCCATTTCTTCTGCTTTATCCATCCATACTTTGTTCCACTATTGTCAGGTTATTTTCATCTTTCCTTTATCCCTTCTTTCTTGTGTACTTCATCATCTGGCTCCATTTCTTTGCCTAGATGTCTCCTGTGGTGTTCCTTTCCCCCATTGACTTGACCTGCTGTCATAAGACTTCTGCCCTTGTTATCTTCCCAGATTTTGTTTTCTTCTTTCTTGATTTTGCCCTTTACTCCTATCCCTCATCTAGATATTTTTACTTCACTTACTAAATTCCAAGCCTTTATATTTTCCCTCTCTTTTCTTCCTTCCACCAGTAGTGTAGTTTGTCATTTTTTTATCACTGACTATCATACAAAGTACCTATCTCTTCTGTTGTTGGTCTCACTTTTTGATGACTCTCATTTTCCATTTCTCCACCTTGATCTCTTTCATCACTCCTCTTTCCCTTTCCTTTTCATCTCCCTCCAACTCCATTTATGGACTTTTTCACCCAGTCTGTGGTTGGTCATGATTGATGTGTGGTATATCTTCCTACATATCTTTCTCACTGTCTTCCATTTGTTTTCTATATTCCTTCCTTCTTTTTCATATCTTCCCATTTCTTGCTCTTCCCTCCTACTTAACATTGACCCCTCTTATATTCCTTTTCACCTACTGTTATTACTGTTCAGATGCCTCTCCTTTAGATGCTTCTCACACCTTCTTCCACCATACTTCTGTCTTTAACTCCTTCATCTTTAACTGCTCTGGAGGTTTCGTGTACTTCTTTCTTATCTCCCTTCTTTATGTTCCTTGCCTGTTGGACTCTTTGAACCTGGATCATGTTCTGTTGGGCTGTTTGGTGTGCCTATTCATGGATCTTCTTTTTTCCACAGACCTCTTTCCTTCCTGGATGGGTCCATTATCTCTCTGGTTGGCATGTTTGTCTCAAGTTGAGGATACTGACAGACTATTTCACTGGTTTTCAGCTTCTGTAGGTCAACATTATTCTGTCATCCCACTGTCTTTGAGAAGAATATGTACTATTTCTCTTTCATAACCCCTTTTGCATTCATAGGATCCTGCCAGTTGGCTGGTGGTGCCTTCCAGTGAATACTTATATCTCAAAATCCACATCGAGACTGGATAATGGAAAGTGCTAATACCATTGAACCTAGCTCCACATGTGCCCACTGTTAGATGAGGTGCTCTGCAAGACCACTTGAGGATTCCTTGTGATATATCTATAGATTTACTCTTTGTCCAACCAATCAAGACCATACTTATTCCATGGACTATCATGGAAAAAGTGAACACTAGAAGAGTGTTCTGCACACTTTTCTGGCTTGCACCTGCTGGTTTCAAAATAGGATTTCACTGTCACCAGTTCACTTTTTCCAGACTGAAAGAGTGATGGTGATCAAAGCATTTTCTCGGAGTCTCCTCACCATGAATTCTTTCCCCTTTTTCATAGAGTGGAGCATGGGAGATCCTAGCCACTGGAGTGGTGTATCATGGAGAACCTTCTCTGATTGGACTTGTACACTGTGGTGATATACAATTGAGTAGTATCATTACAGTGGGAATTGAGGTGGCTGTGACAATGTCAATGTAGCTCATGCCACCTCTCATACAGCTATACATACAATATATGCCACTTGTCCTCTCCTCCTGTAGCCATTGCCTGTTCAGCTGGGTTGAGGTGAACACAGATCTCATCCTGTGCCATTCACCTGCAGTCATATCTGTTAAATAGAATTGGGATGAGCACACATTATATACCTGTTCCCTCCTCTTGTTGGCATTGTCTGTTCAGTTGAGTTGAGGCAAGCACACTCTGCTATATCATGTCCTTCTCCTGTGGCCAGTGTCTGTTTGGTTGAGTTAAGGGATTGCTCATTTTATACCAATTTCTATGCCAGGACTACTGTGCCCTCCTCCCACAGCTGGTGTTGGTCCAGTAGAGTCTGGTTGTAGAGTTTAGGTGAGCACACAAGTTATATTCTCAACAATACCACACATGTTGGCTTTCTGATCTTGTTGCAAGTACTTGGATGGCCGGGTTCTTACTCTGCCCATCCTTGCAACACATGAAGCTCGGGTTTCTTTTCCTTCCTTTCTTCTGGATAAAGAGTATATCCTGGACATGATGAGATGTGGTTTTCCATGGGTATGCCCCTATGGAGTCCATGCCTTCAGGTGTAACACTTCATGGGCTTCAACTTCATGTTTTCTGATTGGAACTCATCTAGGAAGAACTTTGCCAGCCCCTCCACCACAATGTGGGCTTTTAGCTAAACTGTGTACAGAGGTATGATATTGTCTTGGAAGTTAACATCTTCCTTTACCTGAAAATGTATTTTTGACAGATACTCACATTTTCACCTACCCGCCTCCCCACTTCCATTGCACTTTTGTATTCTCTGCCTTATCAAAAAATGAAGTTTTGAGTGCAAATACACATTGGGAGTTATTGTGCATGGAGGTGAGTTGCCCATCTATTGGTGGAGGGCTTTGCTTCATGATTATGTCATCATGCAGAAATGTAATTTATGTTAAATCACATGAAATTAGGGTGAGATTTGCCTCAAGGCTAATGGAATGCAAATCTATTTGGCAGAAGTGTGAGGAGGGTAGCTAAACTGTGTGAAGAGGTGTCTATTGGAAATACATTTTCATCTAAGGACAATGTTAACTTTATAGTTAATATAAAGTAAAAGAAAGATGTTCTAAATTGAAAAGTATTTTATAGAACATTTTATTTAAATAACATGGTGTACTTAAAGGTAAAGTTAATGAAATGGTAAAAGAGAAAGACACGAGATTAACATCTTAAACGTTGTAATGCCAGAAATAGAGACTTCACTTTCCAGTCAGAAATGATTCTATCTGAAGATGCCAAGAATGCTCTCACAAGGTATTCAGTAATATTTCTGCTCCAAGTGGTGGGTGTATAGCTAGATAACGTAGGACATAGGACAATTATTTTATAAAACAGTAGATAGCTTCCATTACTGACTTGGCAGTAGAAAGTAACACCTAAATATATGGTTTAATGAGAGTTAATGTATTCTGAATCAGAACTAAAGAAGAACGTTTTAAAAACATTGGATATAAGAAATATATATTAGAAGAGAACATTTACATATCATACTGTATAATTATGCTAATTTTGATATTCATCACACAATACATTAAAGTTTTCTTGCATTTTCATGTAGAAACCTTTTTTCATTGTTTTATTATTTGTGATAGCAGAACCAAGATTTTTTCATCTGCTGTTTATATTTTTTTACTGACATTGTTGATGTTAAGGGAAGTTTGTAAAGTTTTCAGCTAAAGTAGAAAAGTCAAATGGCTGTAAACTATTGTTGATGTTTCTGCTGCTCATATGACTAACATTTATAATATTTTAGTATTTCATTGATGTAACTTTTACATTATTTTGTGCAACAGTATTAAATGCTGTGGCACCATTTTTGACACTTTTTATCAATCTGCTTTCAAATTTCTCAAGGCTCTCCATAACTTGTATCATATAAACGCTTTAGACTACATCATTCTTTTACTTTAGTGTTTATTATATTTTGTTCATTTAAACAACTTATGAAGCCACGGCAAATGGGTTAGACAACAGTTAATAAATCTTAGTCTCAAAACAAGATAGAACCAAAGGCTAAAAATGTTTGGATAGAAGATTCTTGTGTATGTACATCAGTGTAAAGCAAATAAAATGTTTTATATTATGTCTGTTTTAAAAGTACAGGAATATTCTTTGAGAAGAGATCAGGTTAGGATATTTAGAGCTAGTGGGTAC